ATCTATTTCCCTCACAGAGAAAGTCTGGTGGGTCCTTCCAATGCAAGTGGACATTGTGTTGTGGAGAATTGGGGCAGAGTTTCCCCATATCAACCATTAACTGACAGATTTGATTTGTCAGTGACAGCTTCTCTCCCCTGTTAGAAATTGCCCAGCTCAGCAAGTTTGTGATACAATATTTGCCAAGTACAGTAGCTGTTTCAAGCACTGCACACATAAAATAAACAAGAGTTAGTAGGTTTAGGGGCCAGTATTTTCTTTGGCTTCGGGATGGTCTGCAAACGCAGTTTTACTGGCCTCCACTGACAAAGTTGCCTGACTCTGGCCATTGATCAGGTTGGGATTCCTCTGGAGTTGAAGGCTCCTTTCTTAAAAGAACTGTAGACCACAGAGTCCACTTCTCATTTCATAGTCACATATTTGTGATTGGACCTTAACAGCTGGGAGAAGGAGTAACCAAGTAACTGTTGTCCCAGAAATATGATTTCCTTCCCTTCATGTTTCAAAAGAGAGGACAATTTCAAGAGAAACTAAGATGCAAAAATGAACAAGGCGGGGAGGAGGTGATAAAAACATCACGAATCCTAAATGAATAAGACACTGGAATGCTTCAGTTACTATGCTCTGGAAACATACGGAATTGGAGCAAGAGTGTTAGAATGCAGACCTGAACTTTTGGAAATGCAGGATTCTGACGGAAGAATCTATACTTGTTAATTGAAAGCGGTTAAAACATGGCTTTTAGGACTGTCTCCAAAATACAGCTTATGATGAAGTTTTTTGGTGTCAAAAAACTTAAGTGGGGTTGCACCTATCCATAGTTGGGTGAAAGACCACCAACAAATTCAAGGGCTGTAGAAGCCAACTGAGAAATAAAAATAATTTTGAAAAATCTAGAAGAAGTTACAGGGTCCATATGATGGCTGAGAAAAGTACATCCGTGAAGTTCCCAAGATTGAACTAGAGTTGAAGGAGTTCTACTTGGCTTCATTACTGCACTTCTTTAAAAGATGAAGTAAAATGAGACACGGGAGCCAGTTTGGTGAAGTGGTTAAAACATCAGGCTAGAAACAGGGAGACAGTGAGTTCTAGTCCTGCCTTGGACATGAAGCCAGCTGGATGACTTTGGGCCGGTCCCTCCCTCTCAGCCCTGGGAAAAAGAGGGCCCGCAGAAACATGCCAAGAAAATTGCAAGGACTTGACCAGGCAGTTGCCAGGAGCCAAGTGTGATTCAGAGAGACATACGCCCAAAGAGTCATAAATAACTCTGATTTAGTTTGAGTCTGCAAATCATTTGTTAAAATGTCAGTGCAAACTTTTTTCTTTCTCCCTCTGAGCCCCCCTCCCACAACCGCCCCCCAGATAAGTACATATGAATGCACCCTCTAAGTAATCCTTGATTCGTTGATATGTAAGCAATTGTAAGAAATGGGAGATTGTTCTTAGGCTGTTTTGTGGGCTGCCCCTTTCATCTTTGATTAAGCCATCTCTTTACAGGTCAAACTCCCTTTGGAAAGTTGACTTTAACTTCCTCTGTGGAAGTGAAACAGAGGACAAAAGTTGTGACTGGAATGGAGCATCCCTAATAAATGGCGAATGCTCTTTCGCGATTGGGTCAGGAAAATAAGCTGAGCCTTGGCTGATAAAGAGGGCAATTTCATTATCTCCCTCCGCCTGAGCGGGTTACTACAGGGCATTCACTTACCTGATTCCTGGACAGATTTTGCAGAGTTAACAAATGCCTAATGACAAAGTCTAATCTACTAAAAAGCTGGGGAAGGTATTTGGTTAAGCAAGTCTTTGGTAAGAGTATGTCTTTCATTATACCTAATTTGGAAAGGAAACTCTGCTGTTACACTTTTATTCAGGTTCAGCTTTGGCAAAAAACCAAATCTCTGAATACAAAGGGTCTGTAGCAGATTCTCCGTTTTCTTTGATAACCCCTCTGATTAATGGCTATTCATTAGTAGAGTTGTCATACCTTAATTATCTGTAGCCAAACCATATTCCTGAGAGCTGTTGCTGCTTGAAGAATTAACCCCTGGTGCCTTTCAACTGTGTTTTTGTTAATTGTGTTCTTAGTACTGTGTTTCAATTTCATTTAAAATATGTGGATTGAGCCTGATGTTTCAGACTAGCAAAGGGAAGAATTCGCCAGTAAATTGGTAACATCTAGATATTTCATCTAATGCTGGTAAAAGTTACAGCAATTCATTGTATTTTTTAAAACAAATATTGTAGTCGTGGAGGGGATTGTAAATTAATCCTGAGTTTCAAATGTGCTTTGCGATTCAAGAGTTGGGTGCCCCAGTTTGAGGGGGAGAGTGAATGGGTACACATCTTTTTGGTTAGGTACTAAAACCAGCCAGATTTTGTAGCTCCTGTCAATAAATTAACCACCCTTGTTTTCAGAAGTAGCATAATTGTCCAGCTTATTAATATGAGCAATGCTTGAGTGTTATTTAACACATAGAGATAAACCCAGTTTGCCTATCATTCAACAGAGACAATTAAAAAAAAACCTAGGAAAGAAACAAACAGCCTAAAATACATCCCCTCCAGCAGCCACCACTCAGAGAAGCAGGAAATAGCTCTTGATAAAACAGGGAAGAAATCACACCCCAACCAAGACTGGCAGATGAACAACCACCCAACTTCACTCTCCCTAACACTGATGATATTATCTAGCCTGGTGACAGACTGTATCCAAGGTCACAGAATCCAAAGAACCCAGCGGCTTTGATCAATATGTATTTCTTTCAAAAACTAAAATAAGTACAGGTCTAACAGATTATCTGTTCATGCCAAGCTAGCCTAGGTTCCCTCATGTACAGATTGTTTCTCCTTAGTTGAATGCAAAGTGTGTCCTGTCCCACTTTGGGGCCAGGCATTAGCTGAGACAGAACTGAAGATGCCAAGTTTGCCATGATGTGCTGAACTGCCCTTGGTAGGTTGCTTCCGTGTAGATACTACAGACTCCCCCCAGAACTTTGGCATGGCTGGTGCTGCACTTGAGCTATCTCTGGCAGATCAGGGGAAATATTTACTAGTAAAATCCTGATTTATCTTGATATCCCTGTACCACATACAAACATCTTAAGTTATCTGAATGCCGGTTAGGGAGATGGCATTCTTCTCAACCAAGCTGAGCTCCCAATCCTTTTGTTGAGCTCAGGACAGCGCTAGGATCCTAGAGAGATTCATCTTGGAGCCGCAGAGAGAAAAGTTAGAGAACAACAATCAGGTGGGCAACCAGAACACAGAAAGTGTTGCAATTACGCATTTGCATTCAGTTGAGACAAGCCACTTTTCTCTTGCGGATGTGAACAAGGTAATTATGAACAAGGTCATTATAGAAGCCAGTATAGGTTTGTTAAGAACAGGTCATGCCAAACAGATCTTATTGCCTTCTTTGATAAAGTGACTAAATTAGTGGACCAAGGAAATGCTGTGGATATAGTATACTTAGATTTTAGTAAGGCATTTGATAAAGTATAGCACAGCCTACTTCTTGGCACCTTCTTTGATAAAGTGACTAAATTAGTGGACCAAGGAAATGCTGTGGATATAGTATACTTAGATTTTAGTAAGGCATTTGATAAAGTATAGCACAGCCTACTTCTTGGCAAGATAGAACAATGTGGGATAGACAGCACCACTACCAGATGGATTTGCAGTTGGCTGACCAACTGCACTCAGCACATGGTCCTTAATGGAACTACATCTGCATGGAGGGAAGTATGCAGTGGGGTACCTCAAGGTTCTGTCTTGGGCCCAGTCTCTTCAACAGCTTCATAAATGACCTAGATGAAGGGATTGAAGGGACACTCATCAGATTTCTGGATGACACAAAGCTGGGGGGAATTGCTAACACTTCAGAAGATAGATTCAGAAGGATCTTGACAGACTTGAGCATTGGCCCCTATCTAACAAGATGCAGTTCAGTGGAGAGAAAAGTAAGATCCTGCACTTAGGCAAGAAAAACCCGATGCACAGATACAGGATATGCAGTACCTGGCTCAACAGTAGTGCCTATGAGAGGGATCTAGGTGTCCTGGTGGAACACCGCTTAAGTATGAGCCAGCAGTGTGCTGCAGCTGCCAGAAAAGCCAACACAGTCCTGGGGTGCATCAACAGAAGGATAGCATCAAGCTCAAGGGAAGTGATGGTACCACTCTACGCTGCACTGGTGAGGCCACATTTGGAATACGGTGCCCAGTTCTGATCACCAGAGTACAAAAAAAGATGCTGAGGCCCAAGAAAGAGCACAGAGAAGAGCAACAAAGATGATAAGGGCCTGGAGACTAAATCTTATGAAGAATGGCTAAAGGAACTAGGTACGTTTAGCTTAATGAAGAGAAGATGGAGGGGAGACACGATAGCCGACTTCCAATCCTTGAAGGGCTGTTGCAAGGAAGAGGGCGTCGATTTACTCTCCATAGCACCGGAGGGTAGGACAAGAAGCAGTGGGCGGAAGCTCGTCAGAGGGAGATCCAACCTGGAAATAAGGAGGGGTTCCTGACAGTGAGAACGATTCAGCAGTGGAAGAGCTGGCCTCCCAGAGTGGTGGGCGCTCCATCGCTGGAGGTCTTCAAGAAAAGATTGGGGGACTGTTTGTCCAAGATGCTATGAGGACTCCTGCCTTGGGTGGGGTTGGACTAGAAGACCTCCAAGGTCCCTTCCAACCCTGGGATTCTGTGTTTTAGTTGGATAGAGAGGCTGCGGCTCACTCAGCAGACAAGTAACTTCTGAAATAATCCAGATAGGCTTTTCTCGCTGCATTTTTCATATGCACATGATCTTAGACATATGAAAGGGGAAACATCCTAATTTGGATTGTATTAATAACACCAGGTTGTGTGTGTTTGAAGGCTTTGGTGTGTTTGAAGGCATGTTTTGCTTCTTGTTTTTAAACGCTTAAAAAAATGAAATAATGAAGGGGGAAATAAGGGATATTTCAGTTTGACATCTCGTCTCATGATACTTTATGCATCTTTCAGCGCAAGCATGTGCAGACGTTATGAGTCTCGCCAAGGCGGCAAGAAAACGAAACCTTGGTCCTCTTCACCCTTCCTTCAATGTGATGAAAATAATAAGAGGTGGCCTCTGCAGAAATCTCCCAGAAAACTGCTATCAGTTGTTATCGGAGAAACTTTCCATTTCACTGACGAGAGTCTCTGATGGTGAAAACGTGTTGATATCCGATTTTAATTCTAAAGAAGAAGTTGTGCAGGTATGTCTTATAGTGTCGCTAACATTCTTTTTGACCGTTTTTGTATTTATAAATGCTATTTAAAGGTCAGTGCAGAACGCTGGGGGAGATAGGTGGCGTCCAAATTGATTTGCTATAAATATTTTCACATTTGTTGTTTAAGAAAATGTGTTTTTGTTTCTTTAGAGCAAGTGCTTGCTGGAGAATGGCATCTAGAATGATTTTGCTTTTCCTGGTTCTGGCACAAAAGTCCCAGTTAGGAAAAAAAAGAAAAACATCTGGATGATGTGATTTTTGAGACATGCCCCAGTGAAAGTCTATATAGAGAAAGAGGGGGACATGTAGCTCTCCCTACTGCTTTTGAAATCATTTGGGGAAGATGTACTCCAGATACCCAAGTGGAGAACACAGAAGAAGTTTTCAGTGTGATGGCAGTACAGTATTTTATAGATCGAAATCTGGGAGGCTTTTCTTCCCTCCATGTCTTCCTAAGAGTTTAAAGCAGTGTTTCTCAACCTTGGCCACTTCAAGCCGCGTGGACTTCAACT